CGCTATGCATCATTCAACTGACAAAGCCACAGCTTAAAATCATTTTACCTTGTTGCTCCTATAATAAAGATAGTCAGGGGAAGCCTCCAAAGTGGAAAGTCTTAGAACCTTCCCTGGCAGCTATCCTGGTTGGGAACTCGGCCAGCGAGCCAGGCCGCAGAGGCGGCAAGCAGCCAGGATGAGGGACAGGTATCAGCTGTGGTGAGTGTCAGGCAGTGGCCGGTTAGGACAGGTGGCTGGTGTGGAAGGAAACGGAGAGCCAGCCCAGAGTGACCTGAGGAGGGCAAGTGGTCTCCGAGTGGCTGGAAGTCTCAGGGACAAAAGCAGAGTCCTCTCCGTCTCCCGGCACTGCAGGGACCTGGCCTGAGACTCAACAGCTCCTCAAAGACCTGAACTATCTCTGCCCCTCAAGAAATCAGCTCTCCTCAGGACTGGTTTTAGAGGAAGCCGAGTGGGCTTTACAAGCCATAATCATGTAGTCAGGCAAGCCAAGGTCTTAAGAGATTTTGGAGAGGACCACTGAGTTGGCAAGAAGCACAACTTAAAATAATTGTTACCTCAGTGGAAACCAAACGCAAAGGTGAACCAGCTACAACATGTCCAGGCTCCCATAAAGTTTTCACGAGGCCCCCAGTCCGCAGCCCCCTCCTCAGAGTGCGCCCTGCAGCTGAGGTGACCTTCCGCTTCCTTTTCTTCCTCCTCAGGTGCCACACACAGCTCGCCTCTCCTCCCTAGCTCCCCGTCCCTCCCGGGTCGGCAGGGAAGGCGACCACAAAGTCCCCTCTCTACTGGGGTCTGGAGCAACAGAGGAGATCTTCTCAGGCATGAATGAACAGTCCTTCCAGTGTTCACCATCCTGCCTCCCAAATGCCCCCAACCCCCCAGCGCGAGGTAAGGCGCATCTTGGCCTCTGGCGTTTAAGAGCCGGGACGCTTGGGTTGGTGGTCAGGGGAGGTCCGTTTCACTATAGGAGGTGATGGCTTCTGTCTCCATTTCTGATTTGTTTTTTAAACCAAGAGTGATATTCTTAGATAAATATTTCTCACCATTAAAATGGCGTCAAAGGGGCACCTGGGCAGCTCGGTCAGTGAAGCATCTGCCTTTGGTTTGGGTCATGATCCTAGAGTCCTGGGATGGAGTCCCATGTTGTGTTCCCTGCTCAGTGGGGAGTCTGCTCCTTCCTCTCCCTCTGCTCCTCCCCAAGCTCAAGCTCGCACTCTCTCTGGCTCTCTCTCTCAAATCAATAAATAAAATCCTTAATAAATAAATAAATAAAATGAAATAAGATAAAAAGGCATCAAGTACGTCCCGAGTGAGCATGTGCAGCAGTTAGAGGAACAAACCCACGCCTTGGATGCTTACTCAGCTGGTTATCTGGTTATCCCTCGGTTTACTGCTACCAGATGCCGCAGGCAGCTGCTACCATTGTACTCTTGAAAACTGTTCTTAACACACAAAGGAAAGGTCTGCAGTGATGGTGCACACTGAGTCAGCCCTGTAGTCCGTTCCACAGAGAGGCAGCGGCATCACATTCTGGTGTCCACACTGCCCCATGGCTATCAGGGACATCAGACCTGGGCGCCGCCACAGGCAGGCCACATAGGACGCTGAACAATGTCCCTGTACATCTGTAATTATTTCAGAATGAAAGGTGAAAATATGTTTGGACTCTTTGTCATCAATAGTGTGACCGAATGCCAAGATATGAATGATGTTTTGTTCTCCTTAGCACACAACACTGGGGACAGGGAATAGAGTTACTACCCCTCCCACACTCCAAGAAGAGAGCCACAGATTGGTGGTGGATCTGGGCTCCTGGGGAAGAAAACAGAGGCCTTGCTTTTTAAGACCCTAGGCCAGCTAGGAGAGGCGATGAATCTCGACAGTCCCTATAAAGGGGGGCTTGGAGCTTGGGGCTTGGAGTTGTCTTGACAGAAGCAGCCAGAGTGGAGACACAGGGGCAGAAGGGGAAACACTGACCCCCAGGGCAACAGATGTGCTCCGACAGAGGCAGAGGTCCTGACCCAGCCAAGGGGCCAATGCCCACCAGCCCCTCACCCTGATGGAAGGTCCCGCCAGCATGAGGTGGAAGGCTGAAGCAGATATCATGCTGTTAGACAGAAGAAGCTGACATTCTTGCCACATGATTTAGGACCCAAAGGAGGCCCACAGATCCTGGAGCCCTTCTATTCCCCACGGAGGGAGCAGAGGGAGCCCTGCTGTTCAAGTACAACCAGCGAGAAGGAGCAAAATGTTAAGACTCCATGAAATCTCCGTCAGGTGGTTTTCAACAGACCAGAGCTTTATCTTAAAAAGCTCTGGCTTTTTGGATGATCTGGGCTGTAAGATCTAGAAGAATCTCCCAGGACGTGTCTAGTGCTTTGAAAATCAGTGTTTAGGGTGCCTGGGTGGCTCAGTGGGTTAAGCCGCTGCCTTCCGCTCGGGTCGTGATCTCAGGGTCCTGGGATCGAGTCCCACATCGGGCTCTCTGCTCAGCAGGGAGCCTGCTTCCCTCTCTCTCTGCCTGCCTCTCTGTCTACTTGTGATCTCTGTCTGTCAAATAAATAAATAAAATCTTTAAAAAAATAAAAAATAAAAAATAAATAAAAAAGAAAATCAGTGTTTAAAGAGGTAAGACCTAGCAATCTAGTTAGCTTCTCCGTTAGTTACAAATTAGCCAATCTAAGCCCAAGTGCACCGTGGGTCGAAAGGGGTGACGACAAGTAGCCTGGGTGGCCGTCCCATCTTAACCCTGAAAAACAAACCCAAGGCGTGCCTGGGCGGCTCCGTCGGCTGAGCATCTGACTCTTGATTCCAGCTCAGATCATGATCTCAGGGTCAGGAGACGAGACCTATGTCAGGCTCTAGGCCCAGCAGGGAGTCTGCGATTCTCCCGCCCTCTGCCCCTCCCCCACGCACACGCTCTCTCTTTCTCTCTCTCAAATAAATAAATAAATCTAAATGAATGAATGAATGAATGAATGAACCTGAAAACAAACAGATGGGAGGTTTTTTAAGTACAAAATGCAACCATTCAAAATATCAGATAGTTTGATCTCCTTTTCAAATTTCAGTCCATTTTCCTCTATATTCAATTCCAAAGCTAATCATGTTACTATGTCATCTACGATGCCCACTGACAAATCATGGGGTTTCTTTCTTATACAACTGAATTAAAGTAAGTCAAAGAGCATGAATCACTTGTCAAATGGGAGAAAGGCAGAATCTATCTTTATGTAGAATATGATTAAAGAGTTGAAGATGAGCTTGATCATTAATGTGAGTAATACATTCATCTAAAGTTAAAATGTCTTTTACTTAGTCATTTCTCCATCAGAGCCCAGGCAAAAATAACAAAAATGATTTTTTTTTAATTCCTATCAGGATTCACAGGATTATAATTTACCTTGTAAAGAGTTCTCAATTCAAAAAAAAAAAAAAATACTAACAAAGAGAACCCCAGACCTGATGGCTTACCACCTCCCTGAACAGTAGCTGAGAAGAGAAAGTAGACCCATCTTTGCTGTAGTTATGAAAATGTTACCTTCCCTGGGAGAAAGGGATTAGGGTGTAATGTTTCTTTGTCTCTCTGTCTTACAGGAAGCAAACTGGGTTTCAGAAAGTATAAATCAATAATACCCTAGGAGGGCACTAGGCAATTCCTGTAAAGTCTGCATTATAAAAACACGGATTTTTAAGTGACAATGTAACGAGATTACTACTATATTTAATTTAAAATTTATTATTTCTGAATGATACAGGCTGCCATGAAACTCCATCTAACTTCTAGGTTGGGATTAAAGATCCTGTGTTTTTCCAATCTAAAGACTTCAAAGAGTCTTGAATTATCAACACTTTGAAATAGCCATCTTTATTTTTTTTTAATTTTGTTTATTTATTTGACAGAGAGAGACACAGTGAGAGAGGGAACACAAGCAAGGGGAGTGAGGTGGGGAGAAGCAGGCCTCCTGCTGAGCAAGGGGCCCTATGCGGGGCTCGATCTCAGGACCCTGGAACCACGACTCAAGCTGAAAGCAGATGCTTAATGACTGCTTACAACCAAGGCACCCCTAGCCATCTTTAAATATGAGGAACTTACTGCCCTGGCCCCTCCAGATTTAAATTCTTTAAGATACAAATGAATTGATACCCACGCCCATCCCAACAAGCCCATAACATGGTTCCCTAGGGCCCTTTCTAACCATATTCCATCTGCTGGGAATGAGATATCTACACCTCTTCTGGAATCAATAGATCAGTTAAAAAAGCCATAAATAGATAAAAATGCAAACCATCACGGTTCAGTAAACAAGTCTTTGTTGCAACTGGCCCGATGCATTTCCACCTCTAAAACTCTGAGCGGGGCTCAGCCCAATGCCCCCAACCCCACACACTCAGCTCCCTGAGCACCACCATTTCCACTTACCTGGCTTCCCAGCTACATTTTCAGAATTCCATGACCAAGTGGCCCATCTGCTCCCCCATTCTCTCAGTCTGGCCATTCTATAACTACAGTCTGCTCTGCGCTCCCATACCCACCCCTCTGCCCTTTATTCTGGGGCCCCTGAATTGGGACCCCTTTAGAATTAGATCACAGGTCTTGGAGCTGCTGATATTCCCATGATTGGATCTGAACTGACTATGGGTTTCCCTCCCCAGGGCCCCTTCTCTATCCCCAGGTCCTACTGGCTTCCCACAAAATGTCCCACCCCCTTACCTCTGTGTCCCCAGTAGGCGATGTTCTTGGCAGGCGTTCGCTGGGAATCCATCATTACTCATGACCAAGGGATAAGGTCCCTTGTTTTATGAAGAACTTGAACCTAACCTACCCATAACAACACAACTATAGATTATTAAAGCCTTTTCTAGCCTGCCCCTCCAGGCCTGGCTTCAGGGTCCTTCTCTGGCTTCCTTTTAGTCCTCAACTTGCCTTGACCACGGTAGTGAACACTTCCTCCTGCTTCTTCGCTGGCTGAATGCTCAGCTCCTGGCTGCCCTGCTCACTTCAGTGTGCCCAGGAGGATTCCTGGAACATGGAAGGTGCTGCAATGCTTGTTGACCTGAATCCAGAGAAACCATGGGGCAAAAAACCAACACTCACATTCTTCTCTTGAGACTCGGCAAGGTCGCCCGTATCCCCGTTGTCCTCTTTTTGTGCCTCGTTTTCTCCACTCTCTTCAGTCTTCTCTGTTCCCTGGTCATGAAGCAAACCCATGGTATCATTAACCTTAGATAAGATTTCTAGGGAAAACCAATCCACACATGCTACGGTTTTCTTACTTGGATATATAAACAAAGGGAAAACAGACTTCCTATCTATTTGGTCACTTCGCTACTAGTACAGAATCACCACCCCCTGTATTGCTCATTGGACCTCCTGTTGTTGGTCAGTACATCTGAGTCATGTGCATGGTAGAGAAATAAACACACTAATGAGGAGCTATAATTCACCCATTTAAGGCTTATGAAGATAACTCCAAAGGATGTGATATTCAGGCAGAGTTTGTTTTCTGTTGCTTGAGTGGTGGCAGGCTTTATAATTTTAGAGAGTAAGAAAAGATGATAGAGAATAGAGAGAGAGATAATAGATGGATAGATGGATGATGGATGGATGGATGATGGAGGGATGATGGATGGATGATGGATGGATGGGTGGATGGATGGATGATGGATGGACAGATGAAGGAAGGATGGATGGATAGATGGAGGGATGGAAAGAAGGAAGGATGGATGGAAGGAAGGATGGATGATGGATGGATGGATGATGGATGAATGATGGATGGATGGATGGATGGATGATGGATAGGTGGATGATGGATGATAGATAGTGAATAAATAAATGGATAGATGGATGGATGATGGGTAGGTAGATGGATGGATAGATGGATGGATTGATGGATGATAGACAGATAAATAGATAGATAGATACTCTATCTATGTAGAGTTGAATGACAGAAAAATGAAAACCAAGTAGACATTCTGAGGAAGGTAGTCAGGGGGAAGATGGTTCAAGATACTAACTCTTTCCTCTGCACTGCTCTGTTCCTCTCCCGCTACATCACCATTGGGAAGAGATGTTTCCTCAGATGATTTTTTCACCTGCATTATATAAATTGAGAATGTTTGAGAATTTTCTTGAGGATAATAGCTTACATTTCAACATTTTTTAACTATTCAAATTATGTTTGTCTTCATCCTTCATTTTATCTTTACAACACTGTAGCCTGACAGGTAGGATGGTTACTACCACTCACACTTTAGAGATGAGAAAATCAAGGCAGAAAGGTCACACTGCAAGTCAGAGGTGGGACTAGGTCTACACCTCCTACTTTATGCTCTTCAGACTTACCCACAGTTGCCAACCTTCTAAAATATTAAGCTAATTTTCTCATCATAAGAAGTTGTTTTGTAACTGTGTGAGGTGATGGATAGCGACTAAACTTATTGTAGTAATCATTTAACAATATGTACATACATCAGATCTTTACATTGTATACCTCAGACTAATACAATGTTACATGTAAATTATATCTCAACAAAATTGGGAGGAAAGCAGTTACTCATATTTCAAAAGCAGTTAAACTATAGATTCATCCTCTAATGCCATGCTCCTATGATAATCAATATCAAAATTTCCATATGTACCTGAAACTATCCTAATACATACATATAGGCTATTTTTTTTTATTGGTTGCTATTTTTGTATAATTTTTGGTTTTTTTAAAGCAGACATGAGAACATGGGGCACAACTTGATTTTTTAGCTTAATATATCATGGACATTGGCCCAAGTTAAATCAGATGGTTCTAACCTCATTTTTTAAAAAAAAATCTGCTAAATATTAAACATACAATTTATTCAAATATTTCCCAGCTGACAGCTTTTCAGAATTTATCTGTTTGTACTTTATAAACAACACTTTACTAAGCTGAATAAAATGATGGGTTTTTAAAAAATTTTTAATTAGATCTCTTTCCAAAAAAAGAAACTGTAGCAATTCATATTCCATAGTAAATAAATGAACATTCTCTTTTCCTTTATCTTCATGACCAATGAAGATGATAGCTCTTTTTGATCTCCGATAACACATTGGGGACAAAATGGAATTTTATTTTTGTTTTAATTTACATTTTCCTAATTAAGAAGAGAAAGCATATTTTTCATGAGTTTTAGCCACTTATACTTCCTGTCCAGCTACCTGCCTTCATATGTTTTGCCCCTTTTCACTTCAGTTGTCTGTCTTTTATTGCCAATTTTTAGAGGTTCTTTATATAATAGAAATATTAGCTCTCTGTCAGGTTACAACTTTTTTTTTTGTCTATAAAGTTTTATAAATTTTGTTTCTCAGTTTTTAGCCTTTTACATAAAATAAATTTATCTAATTTTATTATCTGAAATGCAGTGCTGTTCTTCTATATTAATTAAGAACACCCACAACTTTAATTACTCTAGAATTTAATTTTACATTTAATGTAAAGTAGGGCTCTGTTTTTTCATTCAGATAAACAGCAAAGTATATCTGCATTATTTATAGATCATCATTTTCCCATTTAATTAAGATGTTTTTGTCATTTATTAAGTTTTATGTATATATGTGGATCTGTCAATATACTATTCTATATATGAATATCAAGACATACCCATGAATATATTTATCAGTTCCCATGCTAACATACTGCTTTTATCAGTGTAGTGTTTAACATGAATTTTAATATTCAGAAAGGAAAGTTGCTACACAAAGTCTTTTTTAAATTTTTCTCAGCTCTTCTCAGACATTTTTTATTCTAATAAATTTTAAAATCATTTTTCCTGGTGTCAAATTTTTAAACATAAGCTTTTGGTTAAAACAGCATTAAATAGGGGTGCCTGGGTGGCACAGTCGGTTAAGCGTCTGACTCTTGGTTTTGGCTTGGGTCATGATCTCTACTGAATCTACTGATCCCTACATGGGCCTCCACACCAGCATGGAGTCTGCTTGACATTCTCTCTACTTCACCCTCTGACCCTCCCACCTGTGCTCTCTTTCTCTCTAAAATAAATAAATAAATCTTTTTTTTTTAATTTATTTGCCAGATTGAGAGAGAGAGAGAGTGAGCACAGGCAGACAGAATGGCAGGCAGAGGCAGAGGGAGAAGCAGGCTCCCCGCTGAGCAAGGAGCCCGATGCGGGACTCGATTCCAGGACGCTGGGATCATGACCTGAGCCGAAGGCAGCTGCTTAACCAACTGAGCCACGTAGGCATCCCTAAATAGATAAATCTTTAAAAAATAAAATGAAATAGCATTAATTATATTTATTAGTTTAGAAAATGTTCACTTCTTACTGTTTAGTCAACAAATTCAGACACATTGTAGGTCTCCCTATTACTTTAGTATTTGTGGGTGTCCTTCAGAATAAAATTATGTTCTTCATAATATGAAGCCCCAGATTTTTCTTGAAAAATTTATTCCTAATTATTTTATGGATTTTTATCACCGTCGTGAATGAGATTTGTTTTTTACATTCTAACTTCCTATCCGTTATTGTTGATATAAACAAAAACTACTAATTTTTATGTTTTTCTTTTATCCAGAAATGTCATAAACTCATAATTCTAATAGATTTCATTGAAGTTTCTTGAGATTTCTAGTTGTACAATTACATCATATACAAATAAAGATAATTTTTAAATTTCACATGTATTGCATATATACATGATGCATTTTATTTTCCGACATTACTATAGTAACTACAGCTTTTAAAACAAAATTTAATAATATAGTGATGACAAGCATGCCTATCTTGCCTCTAATTGTAATATAAATGATTCAATATGTCATGATTCGTTGTAACACTTACAGCTGCCTTTGGATAACTGGTTTTTATCATCTTTAATTAGTTTCCTTCTGTTTATATTTTAATCCATTTTAGTTTTAACTAGGAAAGTCTGAAGAATTTTATCAAATATCCTGTTGGTATTTATGGAAACAAACATATGGGTTTACTCCATCAATCAGTTCATGGAACTAAGTATGTTAAATATTGCTTTGTATTATACAGTTTGCTAACATTTTATTTATACTTTTCCCCTCTGTACTTACAACAAGAATTGATCTAGGTAAAATTGAAAGTATTCTAAGTAATATATCAACTGGTCAGGGGTTTATTTTATTTCATTTCTCTGTTAAAATTATATATAATCAAATTACATGTATGCATTCAAATTACATTTACTCAAATTATATATATATAATTTGAGTGTATATATATATATAGAGAGAGAGAGAGACAGAGAGAGAGAGAGAGAGAGAGGCATGTCCATATGCACAAAGACACATACTTTCTTCCTCATTTGTATTTAATTGATTTTGGGTTTTGTTTTTATTGGTTCATACTGTCTACATTTTTATCTTGTTTTCCTATTGTTAGTTATTTAAATTGAATATTTCTTTTAGAGGCACCTGTGTGGCTCTCTAAGTTAAGCATCCAACTCTTGATCTCAGCTCAGATCTTGATTTCAGGGTCATGAGTTCAATCCCCACATCAGGCTCCACAATGGGCATGGAACCTGCTTATAATTAACTATTTTACTAAGTTCTTACCATTCTTTTTTATTTTTTTCCTTTCTTTTTTAATCATAAGAGTATTTAAAGGTAATAATTTTACTCTGTGTAGAGAGAAATTTGCTCATATATTGGGGTTTGGATATGAAATAACCTCTCTTGTTTGCTATTTGATGATTTATCATATCAGGAGTTTTTTGAGGGGGAGGGGCAGAGAGAGAGAGAATCATACACAGACTCCATGTCCAGCACGGAGACCCAAAGGGGCTTCATCTCGTGACCTCAAGATCATGAACTGAGCTGTAATCAAGAGCTGGGCGCTTAACCAACTGAGCCACCCAGGTGCCCCTATAATAAGTTTTATTTTCTTTGGGATACAGGGTTATTTGAAATGGGATATATTTATTTCTTAAGTTTCTATGATTTTTTTTTTCTTCAGGTTGTAATTCTGTGTTTGGGATAAGAACATACTCTGTAAAATCATTCCCTTTTGAAATTTATGAAAGTTTTCTTTTTGACCAAGTATATGATCACTGTGGAAAATGTTTTAATAAGTACAAGGGAAGACTACATTTTATTAATATCGATCTAATATACTGTTACTCGTGTGAGTATACATATGTATATCCTACACACATCTATTAAATCAAGTTTCTAATTATATTTGTACCTGATAAGTAATAAATACAATGTATCTATTAAAAGATGTTTTTAACAAGTTTTCATTTTATTTCTAGGAGTTTCTGATTCATGTATTTGTGTATTTGACTGCTATCATCATCCATAAAGATTCGTGACTACTGTATTTTCTTCATAGATTTTTATCATTTTTCATTATATAATACGTTTTTCACCTATTTAATGCTTTTGGCCTTGAATTCCTCTTTATCTGATATCATTAATGCGACTCCAGCTTTCTTGTTGTTTGTACAGGCCTGCTGTATACTCATTCTTTTATTTCAAGTTTTCTTTAAATAACTATCTTATTATGCTCTCATAAATAACATATGGCTCAATCTTTGTTAAAATCCAATTTCACTGTCGACTCCAATTCCCTTATAGCCAAGTAATCTCCTTTTGAACCCAACCTTCCAACAGATAATGACTACAAATTCTGAATCAAAAAGAGAAACAAACAGGGGCAGCTGGCTGGCCCAGCTGGTAGAGCACGCAACTCTTAATCTAGGGTCGTGAGGTTAAGCCCCATGTTGGGTGTGGACCCTACTTTTAAAAACAAACAAATAAGCAAGCAAACAAAAGAAAAAATAACAGGAAAATGAGCCAAAGCAAGAAGATTCAAGGGAGACTTGACATTTGAATGATAAAAATTATTTGTATATCCATGTTCATAGCAACATTGTTCAAAATAACCAAGAGGTAGGTACAATCCAAATGTCCATGAATGAGTGAATGAACAAAATGTTGTATATACATACAATGGAATGCTATTCAGCCTTAAAAAAAAAGTTATCCTATCTCATACCACCACACATATGAACCTTGACTGCATTATGTGAAATGAAATAAGCCACCCACAAAAAGACAAACGTTGTTTGA